CCCTCCTGGAACACTGCTACTTTATGAATGACTTCTAGAAACCATCCTTAATGATAAGACACCATATTATGAAGAGACAGAGAGAAGGACTAAGTCATTTCAGCAATTAAAGCAACTCCACCAGAGGGTCTAGACACATGAATGGGGTCATTTTCCAGTACCTGGAATCCTTCTAACTGACTCCAAATACATGAACAAGCACAGCAGACATCATATTAGAAGAAGACCTGCTTATGTGAACTTAATCAAATTGCCAGTGTGCACAATTGTGAGTGAAGGAAAATAAACTTTTCTAAGGTATTGAATTTATTGAACTTATTTCATCTGAAGGAAAAAAATAAAATTACTAAATTACTATAATATGAATATTATAAAATTATTAAATCTAAAATTACTATAATATGAATATTATAAAAGTTCAATGAATAAAATGAAAAACATTTGGTAATGACTGTATATTCTAAGTACTCAATATGACAGACACTGATGATTATAATATATATATAATTATAATCATAATAATAATAACCTACAATGTTAAACAACTTTTTGGGGAAAGTGATTTAGAAGTGATATTCCAGGTCAAAGATGTTTACCACAAGGGACATTGCACTTCCATAACTGATAATTGTTCTTCTAGGGTATTTGAAAAAAAATGCTTTTAAATCAACATTTCACCTATGTTATAACTTAGACTAATTTATTCCATGATGTCTACAAGGGCAAAACTATAAAACATGAATGGAACTTACGGTGGCTGATTTGGGGTCAATAAAAAAACATTTCTAAAATAAATCTTTCATAAGTATAACAGACTACATTGCCTTAAAGATCTAGTATATTTCTTGTCCAAAAACAGGTTACATTCTACTCTCAGGACCACTGACACACGAGCTAGATGATTTTCATTTCCCTTACTAATATTGCACAGTACTTACTCTGTTTTCTCAAAAGTTCTAGGCATTTTAAAGGCATATTCCACAACCGAATTCTTAAAACATAATTCATGCATTTAAAAATTTCACTGACATTTTCACTTTGAGTAATGTATAGATGTACTATAGAAAGCAACATAGGATATGAAAATTTTAAATTGGCCTTTTCTTCTTTGATTGAGATCACTATTCAAAAGACTCATTTTTTAATGTGTTAACTGTCTGTTCACATGGATTTTTTAAAAAGGAAACTCAATGTAATATTGCCAAAAATCTATTATTTTTTTGTCCTGTAGATATATATGAATCATTTATCAAATTTTTCATATAAACTTAATATTATACTATGTGGTTAAGTTTGCATTTCATGAAAACAACTACAATTGATATTTTGATTACAAAGAAATAGAATCCTAAATATTTCTCAAATTTTGGTTTCAGTATTTTCTGTTCTATTTTCTAATAGCCATAAAATAAAAATATATGAACTTAAGAAATTTTCTTACTAATGCTCAATCACATATTTGCTCTAATATCTCTATATCGTTTAGAAATGAACTTTTCCTTAAGTTTGAATTTGATTTAGAATAGTAACAAACAGGGCCTCCCTGGTGGTGCAAGGGGTTAAGCACCACACTATGAAGCAATCTGCAGCCTCTGCAGGCACGAGTTCGATCCCCGGTAGGCCAGGGAGCAACCCACATGGCACAGCAGACCTTTCCTGACTGGCCTGCTGCTCTCCTCAGCAGTGTCTTTCAGTCATTTCTCCTGTTCTGTTCCCCACTCTGTCGTTGGTGAATCTTCTCACCCCCCACACTTCTGGCCAGTACCCCAGTTCTTGTATGCATAAATAAATAAATCTTAAAAAAATAGAATAGTAACAAACACTCTGAGTTTATTTGCATAATGATAAAGATATACGTAACTTGCAGTAAGATAGTGTATATTTGCAGTATGTAAGATGTAGCTACCTAAGAGTATAAAATTCATAATGAAATTAATTTAAAAAATGTTTTATCTATTTCTATCAGAATAATGTGAACACAAGTCAGGAGTATTATTTTATGTGAAGTTTAAGCAATTTTTAACATTCCCAGTTAAATAGAGCATTTCTCCAGTTTGTCAGCAGAGTTGGCTTTAATTAAGTTTGACTGATTTCTACTCATCTTTTTTTAATATCACTTGAACTCAATATATATTTATAAAGAAAATATTTTAAATATGCTTATGATTATATTTCCTTGATATTCATCAAGGACAAAAATCTAGCTATTTTGGAGCATACCAGAAAAGATTGATTTGGGAAGGAAGAATATAGTTAATAAAACCTATCTTTGATGTTATTTAACACAAAAGCAAACACAGGTTTTTTTATATTTGACATTAAAAATCTGATCATTTGCCTCCCTAAAGAAAGTGCCTACAGCTTTTATACAGACTGCACAGTAAAGAATAATAATATTTCTGTTTACTGAGATATCAACTGGCATTTCACTGTAAGTCAATGGTCTATCGTTGCTACAGCGTATTAGACCTCAATCTGGCATCTACAAATGTCAAGAGTATAAAAAATATATATAGAATGAAAATCAAAAGCATGTTCCAAACTCCCAAAAAAATAAAAAAAAAGGGAAACAAAGTTCACCTAAACATATTTGCTGCAGAATTCAGTGCAATATTCAGCTGTCAATCTAGGAAAACAACAAGGGATCCACACTGTCAGTAGGACAGGATAATAAAATTTCCAGCAGATGCTCAGGCTGGGCTCTAATTTTTACTGAACTCCCTTGGTAAGCATTTAATTTCTTTATCATATGCAGGCTCGGCAAATTGTACTTCATCAAAACTGTATTGTGAAGTATTAATATTTCACACGATAACAAAACTCAATAGATAACCTTTGTCATATTGAGCATCCAAATTTCAAATGTCAAGATTCTGCATTTTTAATACATTTTTAAGTAGATTCTTAAGATGATGTAATAAATTATATTAAAGTTAATCTAAATTGATATATGCTGTAATGTCACACAAATGCATAGTACATATAATTTAATAGATATCCTTAGTGAAAGAATGTGAGGAAAACATGTTTATACTACTGAGTTGTATTACTACATTTCATCAATAAGAAAGCAGAGAAACTATAAGACAATTATATGTTCATAAGAGGTTTAATCACTAGTTAGAGACAAAGTTAAAAAAAAGTAGATCTCTATTTGCAAAATTATGTATGGAAAATAAAATAATAATGTTTGAAAATGTCCTTACATATGCCCAAGGTGACATCATTATTTAACCAATATAATCTGCACAAATGCATATAAAACAGTCCTGCACAAATATTTTGTTGCATTCACTATCAAAATAAGTAAAATAGTTTCCTAAAATGCCCCATCATTAAGTTTTATATGCCAAATTTAACTTGCTTTTTTTCATAACTCTCCTTTTGAACCAATATCACAGACTTCTGAATTGATGGATTAAATTTAAACTGGACGTTTAGAAGGAAGTGAGATTCCACCTCTTTTTCTGCTGGTCATCTAATAAAGGCAACTGCTCCTAGGTTACTCACAGAGAGAGCATCACAAATCAATGTATGTCACCAACAGAGTGAGGACACATGTCTGATTAATCAGAATTCAATTTTTGCAAGCAAAGAAAGCAGCCAATTCAAAACAAAGATATTTTTCCTACAATTCTTCACTTACACCTGATTAGTCACCTATTTCTGTTTATATGTAAAAATTTTTTAATAGCATCACAAATGTATTTATTAAATTCTATCAGAATGAACATTTAACTACAGCTTTCAACTAATTCCTAAAGGACTTATAGAAAAAAGACAAATATACTATCAATATTTGGGACATTTGTAAACAGTTGATAACTGATACTCTAAAGCTGATTTCATTATGTTCTGTTAATTTTCATACTTTGTTTAACCAAACAATTTCTAAATATTCAACCAATTTACTTGAAAAAAGGAAAACACCCTCATATATTTTAACAAAAAGACAAATAGTACTTTTTTCATGCACTGGATTTTTAACTCTTTAGGATCCCCTATATTTCCTTGACCACACTTACACATCTTTAAAATTGTCAGAATAACACAACTTTAATGTTTTAGTCACAATAATGCCAGCTATTGATCCTGGTAAGAGGAGAAAGATGGAGGAAAATGTGCTTAATGGGGCATATTTGTTTTCTATTATTTTCTTTGCCTAAGGATAAGGCTTATTTAAATAATGATACTCTTTTCTTAGTCCCTAGATTCACAGTTCTTATACATTAATTATTACTAACTACCACTTAGTACTAAATACATCGATAGGGTTAGCATTTAAAATTTTATAAAAAGTCTAACACATCTGTTTTTCTTTTCTAATATAAAACCACATAAGGATGTAACACACTTTATCATACATCCTACTTTGAAATCATGCATTTATGTGCTTTATGTACTTTGTAACTCAATTTTACTAGGTAGTTTATCTCTTAACTTTGCCCACTGACAGTGTGAATACAGTCATAACATTAAATTCAACCCAGTATATGTATTTTTGGAAAATTTTCTATATTTAAAAAAATAATTATTAAAATGAATATTCTTTATCATAAGCACCAATGAGTTACACTGAGGGAGCCTGACTTGAATTAGATCTGAGATTTAAGTGCAAAACAAATTCATGATCTCTAAGACTTTGAGTTAAGTCATATGTCCTCAATTCACATACATCCAGAAAACACAAAACGATAACACCAAAGTTAGAATTCATCAGTTTGTAATTATTAACTGAAACAATCACTTATGTAAGTCATATCATTTCCATGCTTCCTAGACAAATAAAAAAATAAAGAAACATATATGTCCTCTTTCCATTTTCAGGTGACAGAGAGGATGGAAGCAAAGACAAATATGTGATCAAGGGCATAGTCCTGTTACCTACTGGTTTAAAAACAATTACATCTTGATTAGAAATTTTTTTCTATGATAATTTGTACTCCCTAATTAAAATGCATGGCAGCTCTTTGAATATGACTTCAAAAATATTTTCTTACCTTATCAAGAGAAAAAGTTTTGGTCAGGGCAAAACCCCATCCAGCTTCAAAAGCTCTTCGAATCATTGATGTACTGGTAGCTGGAGGTGCACTAGCAAGACCAAAAGGATTCATAAACTTCAATCCAGCCATTTCCACACTAATGTCCACCAGATCAATAGGCGTGTAAAAGAGAGGTAGTTCTGGTTTGGCAGAAACTGAAGCTCCATATTGTGACTGCAAAAAAACAAATAGCCAATAATTGCTTGTGTATCATATCTGATTTTCCATGTTATCTTTTGCTGAAAACACTTCAACACAGCATTTGAATTAATATAGATTATATCGGTCTGTTTACAATGATAAAAACTGACAAAACATCAGTTAGCATAAATATTATTATATTTTTCTCATGTAAAAGGTCAAATAGAAGGTACACAGACACGTTTAATCAATTAAACAAACAAAAATCTCTATTTAAAACATGTTGGGATTCAAATACAAAAGGAAATAATTTCAGAATTTAGCTCCCTGATCCCATTAACCAGACTTTTTATACTTAATTTGTGGAAATGTCTTTAATGCTCAGAGATATGGGCAACAGCAAGTCAGAAAACTTAAATTCAATTTCCACTAATCTCACTACTATTTATGAGATTTTAGGAAAGCACCTAACATGTCTGTGTCTTTTCTTCCCTACCATTTTCAGTATAGCAGCAGGAATGCTGGTAGCCTAATTCCCTACCTCTCAGGGATATTGAAAAATATAGAAAAGATCATAAGTTACAGGGAGAAAACTCATTTGGAAAATGAACAATGTACTTATGTGCATGAAGGGAGTTTGTTTATTTCAGATCAAACGGTGTTTCAAAATTCTTCAACTGGCTCTCATTTTTAAATAATGTTACCTTGCAATATTTGAAAGATTTATGAAAACATTTGTGCTAAGCATCTGGTGTACTAAGCATAGTAGGTGTTTTCTAAATAATATCTCCTTTTCTCACTGGGGAAGTGATTAAAAACGTTTGTAATGTTTGTAATGTCTCTGTCTTTCTGTATTTCTCTCCTCTCTCTCTACCCCGTTTTCTCTGTTTATCTCTAAAAGACAAATAATACTGGCAAATACAAAAAGGATGAATTTTCTCAGCCAAAATAGTTACTGATTGGACAGGGTGAGTTAATTCCAAAGTAAGAGCTCCTTTCTCTTGTGAATCATCACTCAACAAAAAGTTATTTGAGCAGAACTTTAATTTTATAGGCATGTGTCTTGTGTAGATAAAGATTGCCATGACTTACATAAAAATTATTTCTAGCTGTCTACCATTTATAATGCAAAGTTCACATAATATGTGAAAAGGCATCAAACTTGTCAATGGAAAGATGAAGTCTCTATAAAGAGGTGCCTGCTGGCATCAAGGCTTCAGCTGCTTCTGCCAGGAAGGTTCTGGGTTTCAAGGTAATTACTGAACACTGGTCAGTACTTTTGTGAACATAGTATCTCCCGCCCTCATTTGGGATGCAATGGTACTAACAGGATTATTAGCAGAGACAAAAGCTATAATGAATAATATAGGGAAGTGGAGAGTAATTTGAAACAATTTAATTTGAGGTGTGTGTGTGTGTGTGTGTGTGTGTGTATTTTCAGGGATGAGTGAGAGAAAAACACCTTCAATGTGATTTTCTTAGCACTGTGCAATCATAATTTTAATTGAATCAAGCAAGTTTTTGGCTAAACTAAAACAATTTTCAATACCAGGGGTTGGTTAATACTAAGAAACATGTAGGAACACTTTCCATATCAAAGGAAACCAGGAAGCTTCAGGCAATATTGTATTGGATGCTAAAAGCCCCAAACTCTATATTAGGTGAAGTGAATGGCGTTGCAAGTATAACTTTTATAAGACTTTTACCATAGTATCTAATCTCTTCAATCTTACAGATGAATTTTAGTTTGTTAATAATTGTAGCAAATACAGCATTAGGCAAGAATCCAAGGAGGCGTGTGTGTGTGTGTGTGTGTGTGTGTGTGTGTGTGTGTGTGGTTCTACTGCATTTCTTATTTTATATATGTTAAAATAAATGAAGCATTGCACTGAAATTCTTAAAGATGATTGCTGGCCTAATACTTGGAAAGTCAATAATTTGGAAAAACTTTTCAAAACAAAAAAAAAAAGCAAACAAGCCAAAATAAAATATAAATAACAAACACAAACTTTTTCAAATGAGAAGTATAGCTTCTTATAAAACATACACATTTCATTATTGATAAAAATACTACTGATGTATATATGTACAGGATACAACCTCAAATTTTTACTTATAATAAGCAGCCTTTGCTAGAGTTGGGTTGTTGCAGCACCGTGCTATTCAACCTTACAAAGTATCTCCACACCTTAATATATATCATTTTTCTGGAAGTTTAAAAGCTTGTTTTCCTCTGCACCTTTGTTAAGAGAAACTGAAACATCACAAAGTTTAGTTTTCTTCATAAGCTAATTTATTTGTAATCCCAACAGCAATCTCCAAATTCAGACTTCCTGGAAACTTCAAGAATTTTGGATGTGGATGTTTTGCCATTAATTCAACAACTACTTTATAATGTATGTCACTATATTCTCTTCTAAAGGATGTATTACCCAGTTGTTTTTTTTTTTTTAATTTCAGACACTAGTATTTTTGCAGTCATACAATGAAATAGATATTAACAAATAACAAGTAAAAGAAGCACCTGAGATTTTGAACAATGAGGATCAGTTTCCAATGAAACTACTGCACAAAGGATTGTTATGCTGGCATCAGAAATGATATAAAAAAAGAAGAAACTGACATACAAGAAGGCTTTCCAGGGCCTCCCTGGTGGCGCAGGTGGTTGAGCACCATACTGTGAAGCAGTCCACAGCCTCTGCAGCGCAGAGCCTCTCGTGCCGGCAGGCAGGCGAGAATCTCATATGGCAAAGCAGACCTCTCCTGCTGCCCGCTGCTCCCCTCAGCAGTGTACTTTGTCAGTCTGCCTACTCTGCTCTCCGCTCTGCCTCTGGTGAATTCTTTACCCTCCCATGCATCTGGCCTGTACCTGGTTCTTGTATAAATAAATCATTTTTTTAAAGAAGGCTTTGCAGTACTTAGTGACAAAAAGGAGGGTTAACATTAAATGTAAAATGTTAAGATTTTAGAAAAATATATACCTGTATATATATTTTACTTTACGTGTTTTTCTCCTTAAATGGTGAACATTAATATGTTAGCTAAAGTTCTCTCTCAGGATTGGGATTTCAGATGACATTTAATTTTTCAAATGTTGCTTTTTTTTAATATTTTCAACAATGAACATAATTATGTTAATGAAACAACCAGAACTAACGGAGGTATATTAAATCATTTTTTTTAAGATTTATTTTATTTACACAAGAACTCGGGTACAGGCCAGAAGCACAGGAGTGTGAGAGAATTCACCGGAGACAGAACAGGGAGTGGAACAGGCAGACAGATGGAAAACACTGCTGAGGGGAGCAGCGCATGAGACAGGAGAGGTCTGTCATACATGTGGGTATCTCCCTAGCCAGCCGGGAATAGAAACCAAGCTGCAGAGGGTGAGGACTGCTTCACAGAGCTGCGTTCAACCCGCTGTGCCACAGGGGAGGCCCTTAAAAATTTTTTTTAAAAGGAGCAATGCAAATCTACTAAGTAAAGATCATGACACTCTTTTGCTTCATCCCCTGATTGTCCCAAGTCAATCTTTTCAAGCAGATTTCTTACTATTCATTGAAAGTTAAAAAATATCTACCACTAAAACAATGAATGAGATAATCTATCACAAAAGTTTTATTTTAAAAGAGAAAACTCAGGCAGAATGAGGATATATGAGTACCTGTAAGTTAAACAGTAGCAAAGTGACAATAATATGTATATGTATCTCTCGTTAGCTAATATTCTTTCTGCCACCTTAAACTAGCCCTCAAAAATAAAATGTTTCCATCTTTTTCCTCCTCAAAAGTTCTCACTGCTTCTATGTCATGCATATTCCATATCTTTGTTCTCTATTAGCTGACCTTCTTGCCCTCTATTGATAAATGACTATTTGGGATACCCCTCCACATGGAAAATACCACTTGAAAATATTTGGTTATATGTGTAAGAATTAGCATGTTTATACTTTTACATAGCTTCAGAAAACCAAGTTCAGATTTCTTTACATGACATTTGCTGATTACTTCTATAATGTAACAAGCATGTACTTAGTTAGATGCAATTCTTAACATTTACACAGAATGATTTTCATTTACACAGTTATTTTTTTCGGGAAACATTTATTGAGAATTCGGGGATATGAAACAAAACATACAACGTCCCTGGAGCTTAAAAAATGGAAATAAAGCTACCAATCAACCAACCAAACAAAATATAAACTACTGGTACATGTTTCCATGAAATGTATTATGAATTTCCAATGGTGTAAAATATAATACAAGACTTTCTTCATCCATCAAACTGCTAATCACCTTGAAAAATTCAACACATTTATAAAAGTATATTCTTCCTTAATATCTTCCTGTAGCAATCTGACTCTCTGCTATCTTACAGTTCAAATGTAACAGTAAATCACAATTGACTACAACTGTAGCCCAAGACATGTTTTATTGTAGAGATAGGACAGGACAGTATTTATCATACTGGGCTACACATGTTGATTTTCTCTTCAAACAGAACATAAGTTCTTTGAGTACAGTGACCATATTGTAGTCAAATTAGTATCTTCATTAGAATTAGAAATATCTACAATACATATGTGTATAGATATATAAATTATAATATGACATTATTTTTTATATTGTATCTATAATACTTCGGCTTATAGGCAATTGTACATTCTGTAGCCGAAGGTAAACAAAATCACTTTTTCATTTGGAAACTCTTTAAATACGTTTTAAAGAATTATCATATACTTTTTAAATATCTTTTGCTTCCCCAGTTAAATAATTGTCTTTATAATTATTATTAATTTGCAACACTTTTCAACATTTCAGTGGTGCTTTGTTCAGTATCTCATTTACTTTATATGCTCTGAAATTAAGGAAACAGTTTACATGGGTGAAAAGGTTAAATTTAAGATCTTGAATTTTTGTAATTCCCCACTTCCCTTCCCTTTCCAAAGCAGATATCCTCTTAAAAACTGTACAGCATTATAATTTCTTTGGTTATTCAAAATACATTTAGTGGAAACACAAAAATAAAACTAT